AGCTGAAGCTGAATAGTGGATGTTAGGGGCCAGTTGAGTTCAGTATGACTCATAGCCCTCTCTGAACAACAGACCTGAATCTTGTCCTGTCCTGTGCCACTCTCATCATCCCTTTTACACTTGAGCCCATTGCTGCAGTCACTGTGTCAGTCCACCTCGTTGGGGGTCTTGCTCTCTCTCCAAGCTACCCTCGACCTTTGTGAGCATGGTATCCCTACCCAAGGAGTGGTCGGTCTCTCCTAGCAACATGCCTAAAGAATGTAAGCCGAAGCCTCCCATCCTCGTGTCCCAGGAACACTCTGGCTGCACTTTTCCCCAACATACATCTGTTCCAGGTTTTTTTGGCAGTCCGTGCACGGGATAGTGCTCTTCTCCACCACCACCATACAAAGGCATCGATTCTTCAGGAAACCGGGCAAGTGCATAGGGCTCAGCCTAATTAGATTCTTTCTACTTTCTGTGTGTGCTTAACACTTTCCAAAATAAGGTGTTTGGGGTTTTGTTTTGTTTTTTTTTTAAAGTTAAAGTCTAAATTGTGCATAGCGAAAAATGTGACTCCCACAATTCTTTATAAAGAAATTAAAAGTTGAAAAGAGAAAACGCACAAGGGACAGCTTTAAGGATGTGAAAGCTACATTCCCTGGCCTCCCAGCCCGGAGGAGGAGACCTTTCCCCAGCCTCCCCCTTCGGGGTGCCCACTCTGCCCACCTGCCTGCTGACCACCTCTCGGGGTTCACCTGTGGTTCTCTCACAGGTCCACCTGGCCCTCAGGACCTCCCGCTCCGTGACCCCTGGCGCCCCTTGCAGGCTCCTGCGAGTGGACCCTGGATCTCCGACCCTCGCGCGCCCCTCCCTGCGCCCGCGCCCCGCGGTCCCCAGCGCACTCACCGGCCGAGCTCCCAGCATCTCGAGGCTCCGCAGAAACTGAAAGTCAGGGCCCCGGGAGCGCGTGGAACTGGCCGCCGGCCGCTGCCGAGAAATCACGTGGATTCTAGCTACCCGCCGGCGGGCGGGCGGGCGCAGCCACACCGGGGGCGGGCCGCTCGCACTTCCCCGCACCTCCTCGCTCAGGCTGCCCGGTGGGTGCCCCTCGGCAGGTTGGTGCAGGGCTCTGGCCCCTTAGATGAACGGGAAACTGAAGCCGGTATGACGGGATACCTGAACTGGGGTCTACCTCGAGGGTTAGTTTTACAGCAGACCCTGGGCTGGGGATCAACCTCTCTCTGCCTTCCTGGCGATTAGCTAGGATGCGAGGGGGGAAGCACTCTAAGGCAAAGGTCTTGGGGTGTGGTCTCCAGGACAGAAGGGGGGGAGATGGCCACAATAAAAAGGGGCTGACTTGTTCACTGACTCCTTGTGCTATCCCTACCAGACACGCTACAGATTTACATCTCTGATCCTCGTGATATTTGCAAAATGTAGCGGCAGGAATTGCTCCGTTTTGCAGATTTGCCAACTGAGGCTCAGAGTGAAGCCGGGTAAAGAGACTTGGCTGAGCTGTACAATGAATCACAGGCAGAGAGGAGGATGGGGGGGGGGGAGGAAGAGCAGAGAGGGCACAGAGAAGGGCTGTCTGTCCTCTTAGAGGAGGGTCAAAGGCAGTTCTGGAAACAGGTCCCATTGAAAGTTTGCCTGCCGCCTACCATGTTTCTTATTCCTCTCCTGCCAGGACTTATTCACTGTTTGTACAGATGTTGAGCCCAACCCCACCACCTCCCTGGGGTCGTTCACAAGTCACCATGAGCCCATTGTGAGTGTAGGTTTGTGGGTGTGGGGGTACTGCAGGGTGTGGTCTAGAGCTTCAGCCCCCATTCTGGAATCAGGGACAGGTGAGTGAGGAGGCTTTTCCAGTGTCTGCCAGGTGCAGCCTTCCTTACCCACATGTGATGAACTTAACGCTGATGAACTAAGACGCTTGCTTTGGGTGCTGGTGAAAGAGAAACAGGTGTGGAAAGAAAAGCATTTGGAGAGGAAGGGTTTGGGGAGAGACCTTGGTCAGAAGATTATACACCCTTTAGTCAAATTATCCCAAACCTGAGAGGGCGTCCGTGCCAAGCTTGACGCCAGCCTCCACTTCTTGGTAATCTCTCTTGGCCTTTAAAACAAAACCTCTGTTAAGGTGCTGCCACCTTCTTGATCTGGATTCTGCTTGTCACTCTGGTCTCCACTTTGCTCTCTGTGCTATGCCAGCCTCCTTCAAGACTCTCCAAGCTGTCATGGACCTTCTGCCCCAAAGGCCTTTGCATTTGCTGGTGTCTGCCCCTGCTGCCCCTACAATGCTTGGCCAACGTGGTAGGATCACCACATGCACTGATGTAGAGTCTGGTGTCTTCAAGTCGAGCATGATGAAAGGGAACTTTTGGGGTTGCACTTGGAGAATGAGAAGGAGAAACATCCTGAACTCTATAGAATAGGCTCGACACATGCTCCTGAGGGGTTTCTTTTCCATAGAAAAGTCTGATTTGGTTTTGAAGACCTCGCCCTCCTCCTCCACCTGCACAGAAACCAGATTTCTGCCAAGGGTTCTTTGCCTTATGCTCACCCGCCATTCTCCCACACTTTCTATCGTGCACTGAAACCGCATGGAACACAGAGGCAGTGCACTTATGCAGGACATGAGATGGGAGTTTGGTGGTTTGAATCCATAAATGCCTCCAGGAGATACGATCAGTCTGTTCCTGCTGTCACTTAACCTGATAAGGGGGTCACTGTGCATCAGAACTGACTCAGTAGCAGAGAGTGAAGAGTCCAAATGGTGTTGAGGGCAAGGGCCCGAGACCTGCCCCAAGCAGGAGGCTATCCTAACCAAAGAACTGTTTTCTGAGCTGCTTCTGAGCCTAAGTTATGCCTGTGACTTCACAAATAAACCCTGTAACTGTGGGAGGCAAGAAGCATCTAGGATCTCTGATGTTGTTGTAGTTACGTACCATCAAGTCAGAATTGGCTCAAAGGCTGTAAATTGCACAGGAGGAGACTGGCCATCTTTCTCTCATAGAGTAACTGGTGGATCTGAACTGTGTGCCTTTAGGTTGGCAGTGCAACTCCTTACCGCTAAGCCACTCGGGCTCCCTAGGATCCTTAACTGTAGATGGGGGGAAAAGGGCTGAAAGACGAATAGGAAAGGAGAGTGTGTCTGCGAGAGGCTCTCTGCTGATCAAAGTGGGGTCATCTGATGTGTCTAAGCATCTAAGTCCATGATTTCACCTTTTGGAGAGAATTCAGGGACAATAGACATTATCTTGTATGTTTGTGGTGTTGGCAAGGAATATTTCATATGCTGTGGTCTGCCGGAAGAACAAACAAATGTGTCTTAGAGGACATACATCCAGAATGTTCCTTAGGAATGAGATGGTGAGGCTCTGTCTTGCTTACTTTGTGCACATCATTTGGAAGGACCAATAGGTAGAAGAGGACCTCATGGTTGGTAAAGTAGAGGGAAACCTTCAATGAAACCGACTGACACAGTAGTCATAGAAACAGGTTCAAGCACGCCGAGTATCGTGGGGATGTCACAGGGCCATTTCTGTTAGCTACGTGTGAGGTCACGGTGATGGAGCCATTTCAACACCAGACACGGTGATCAGATGAAATAATGTCATCCGTGAACACGAGGGCGTAGCTGCATGTTTCTGAATTCGATTTGCTGAGCCTTGGGCTAGGACACCTTGCCTATGCGTCCCGTTGGCAAACTTCTGTTCAACCTGCAGGACACAACCCAACGTCCCCAACTTCACTAACCTACGTGATGAGTGAAAGTGAATCCCTTTATCTGTGTCCCAGCCCAACTGTGAGTCTACTCGAAGTGAAAGGGTAGGTGGCCTGTCAGGATGCTTTGCATGTCGCCAGCCAAAGATACGACATCACTCAAGTTCACAAAGGTGTGTTCAAGGGGGTGGGAGGGAACCAGCTGGGATTGCTCATCCTCTGGGAAGTCCTTGGCTTCTCAGCCTCCTGTCCATTCTGGGAGCTGTTTAGGAGGATCCTGGATATAATCATTATTTTTGGTGTGTTTGTTTTCAAAAGGGTTGAACTGTTATTTACCACGAACGATCCATGGTCTGTGTCTCGGGCATGTAGTGCTCTTTCGAGCCTGGGCTTTGCTGAGTCAAGCGCCTGCAAGGAGTGTATTAAGCAGTCACCACACGAGGCCAGAATAGAGGCCCTGGAGGGTGTTCTTAGGTGACTCGGCACAGATGGCCAGGGAATTGGGGTCTGATCGTGTCCTGGAAGAGTGGGAAGGGTTCTGGACAGATAGGAGAAGATTGGTCTGCTGGAATAGGGCCAGTCCGGATTGTCCGGCAAAGCAGGAAGCATAAATGTGATGGGAGGAGATGTTGGCCAAGGAGTGGTGGAGTCTGGAGATGAGTTTCAAAGGGTCCCAGGATCCTAGTAGAGATAGCCTCTGGGTAGCGCAAATGCTTGATGTTCTTAACTCCTAACTAAAATGTTGGAGGTTCAAGTCCTCCAAGAGGGGCCTCTGAAGAAAGAACTGGAGACCTCTTTCCACACGGTCCCAGCGATTGAAAAGCCATGACATCTAGTTCTACCCTGACACACCTGCGATTGGACTAGATAGCAGTTGGCGGAAATCGTGGCGTGCTTTGAGTCTGAGTGTCTGGGCAACGTGAATTTCTTCCTCCAGGTTCTTTAGGAGGAGGTACCTTGGAAGGAGGGCAGAATTGGGGTGCAGGGGCTCAGAGGCAGGAAGAGTGTCAGAGGTGGGGGATATCAGACTGTCCCGCTAAAGTAGAAAGACCCAGGAGATATGCTCCTCATCTCCTGCCGCAGCCTGTAGCCTTCAGCTCTGAGACAACACTTTAATAACAACAGGCTTTTGCTTGACAAGGGGGAGCTTGAAACTTGGTCCCCGTGGCCCCTCCACCGCCGCCGCCTTGAGGGACAGACCAGCCACCATTCTGCCTGTGAGTCTGGTCCTACAGAGTCCGGCTTAACCTGGAGTGCCTTCTGTTTTGAGCTTCATCCCAGCCATTTGAGGGCTTCTAGGTCAAGTGCTGGAGGAAGTCTACCAGCAGGTTCTCAGGGAAGCCAAAGTCCATCTGGAGCAGTAGGTAGCCCTGGAGGGAGGGAGGGGGAGCAGGAGAGAGGCAGAGGTCAGGGTGACCTAGAACCTCCTCCAGGTTAGCCCCTGTTGAGCAGGCTGGAGGAGACCCCTCTGCTGGTCTTCCCACAAAAATGCTATCTGGGGCCTCCCTCCCCAGGAAATAGGGGCTGGTGGTTCTTTGTACTCACATCCCGGGTGATAATCTCAGGATCGATTATTTCAAAGAGGTCCAGGTTTTTGGTATTCATGAAGGCGGTGAGGCCCACCTCCATCCCTAGGGCAGGGGTGAGAGAGAAGTCAGTGTAAGCCCACCTTGGCTCATGGACATCCTGAGACACTGGGGCCCTCCACATTTTATCTTCACCTCATCCACCCCCTATCACTGGCACATGTCCCCACATGCCCTGCTTTCCCGTGCCTCCTGCTGGATATGCGCAGGTAGGAAGCAAGCTCAGGTAGGAAGTCTTTCACTGTGCAGAAGTCCCTGGGTGGTGCAAACAGTTAATGTGGCCCTGATAAATTGGAGGATGGACCTTTGAGTCCCTTCAGATTCACTCTGGAAGTGAGGCTTGGTGCTTCCTAAAAAATGAGTCATTGGAAACGCCAGGGAGCGCACACCCTCACATATACTGTTAACACTGGCAACCTCTGGTGGTCATTGCTCAGACACATCACAGGTGTCCCTCTGCCCCCTGAGAAGCTTTGTACCCATTCAGAGCAGTCTTCCTGCAAGGAGTTCTAGTAACACAAGTTGAATCCCTCTCCTCAGCACAGATGATGGGAATAGATATCTACAGAGGCCAAGAGACACAGCCAGCATGTGTCTACCTGAGCGTTCCCAGCGACTTCTCTCCTCTCTACCAAAACCACATCATGGACAAGCAGATACTCAAGATTAATGCAGGTCCAACTCAACATTTGATATACTCAGCATATTGTATCCTATATATTCTCAGGGGCAGAAAGTTAGCTCTTAACCATTTCTTCTTCAAAATATTTCTGTTAGAGGACCTGAGGTTCCACCATTAGAGTTCTCTCTTATGGACAAAGAGCGTATTATGTTAAAAAAATCATCACGTTCAGCATATCAAACTTATCTATCTCATTTTATAGGGAGGGAAACAGGCTCAAGATAGGGCTAAAACTTGTCTTCAGTTTCCCAGGTCAAGACACTCTCTGCCACATCGGATTGCCTTTGGGGACCCGGGCCCTTAAAGAGGGCTGATAATAGTTTTGAAGTAAACCTAGACCATTGTAGCTGCCTTGAGGGAAAGGACGTAAGACTGGCGAGTTGGACAGTGGGAGAATCTAGGCCCTTGCAGCTCTGGCTGGGCCTCGAGATGAAGGGGGAGGTGCTGCCCCCACCTCAGCCCCTACTTACGAGATGAGACCTCAGGAATGCCCACTGTGGTGATCATGGACCTCAGGAAGCTCTGGAGAGACTCGGAGCTCTGCCAATCAGAGTGAACGTGGGTGAATGCTCTACAGTAGCAAAGGGTCAGACGACCTGGGCAGGCACTTGCACACCGACCCACCTCTCTCCTCGCACCCACTTCTCCCACCCAAGTCAGTGCTGTTCCTAACGGGTTCCTGTCACACGTGGAGGAGGGCTAGGATTGTTATGTTCCCTTCTACCCCGGGGCAAACTGAGGCCCGGGGAGGTCTCAGCTCACTGGTACCCTCCTACCTGACTCCTTCCCACTACTACGGTCCCATTTCTTCAACCCAAGTGCTTTCTCTCCAACAGTCACAACAGGGGGAAGGAGGGGTCACAAGAGCCAGAGGAGGACCATCTGCCCGCACTTTCTTCAGTCCGTTGCCTGATTTCCTTCAAAGCCCTCTGTCCACTTACTTGGAGCCATGAAGTCCTGCAGAGCTTATTTCTCCTGATCCCTCTAGATTACCTACCTCAGTCAAGTTGGAAACCACCTTCGGTTTAATTCTGAAATGAAACAGAGATGAAAGTTTGGCCTTCTCTTGGGTTCCCTCCTAGAATACTACTCTAAAAGAAATTCTAGCAATTAAGAATTCCAAAGGTTTTTGCCACATAGGTGCAATCCTTGAAAGAGTCCTGTAGAGGGCACGCCTTAGACCAGTCTTTCCAAGCCCCTCCCTTGCCCAGGACCTCATCCAGAGGGGCCTCCTGCTCTGCGCCCCCTCCTCCATTCTTCTGGTGTTGCAACCTCCCAATTAAGACTCTGTGTGGGGATCTTAGGAGCCCTGGTGGCACAGTGATTAAGTGTTCTACTGCTAAGTGAAACACTGGTAATTCAAATCCACCAGCTGCTTCCTGGCAGTTTGCTTCTGTAAAGATTTCAGCCTTAGATATTCTATGAGGCCATTCAACAACGTCCTACAGGATTGTTAAAGGTTGGGATTGGCTTTTTAATTTTACTTATTTATTTTTAGTAGGGGTCTTATCCCCCTAACAGTGAGTCATGGAAGGAAAAAGGGAAGGAATTACATTTCCTCCAGCAATACCCCATCCCATATGATCGAGTTAGAACCAACCCACAGCTGACCCTCCCGTGGTTTTCACAGACAATAAATCTCACGGGAGGAGATTGTCCATCCTTTCTCTCACAGAGAGGCTGGTGGATTCGAACCACATGCCTTCTGGATTGCAACACAGCTTCTTACCCCTAGGCCACCAGAACTCCCTATACATAGAGGGACCAGGCAGAAATTTAGCGAGTCAGTTTCCCCTCCCCTCTCTGCCCCACGTACTGGAAATCCAGGACATTTAGGAAGAGCTTCTTCTTGGAATAGGAGGCCTGGGTGGTGGTAATGATGTCCTGGGGAGAGAAACCAGATTCTCCGTGTGAGCGGGCCTTCTGGCAACAAGGAGCCCAGGCCCACAGCTCCACACGGACCCATCTGAGAGGCTTGGAGAGAGCACTGGGCCCGGGGGGATCTTGAGACCCTGCTGAATTGCTGACCTGGAAAGCCTGGAAGGTACCCAGCACCCATCGCTTCATGATTAGGACCTGAGGAGTTGTGTACACATGTTCTTTCTTGATTTCTGACTTTATCCACATCCCAAACACTCCCTCCTTGCTGTTAAGAAAGAAACTTGACTAAAACCAAGGACTATACACTTCATTAAAGAAAAGCTTGGAAGAACTCTAGTAGTCCTAATCCACAACATAAACAGTCTTCCAACTATCCGGAAAAATCTCCAA